GATTGGAATAGATGGCCTATATCTCAACTTAATAAAGGCTATCTATGAAAAACCAACAACCAACATCATGATAAATGGCCAAATTGAAAACCATGTTAAAATCAGGAACAAGACAAGGATGCCCACTATCACCACTACTCTTCAATATAGTTCTGGAAACATTAGTCACAGAAATTACAGAAGACGAAGAAATTAAAGCAATAAAAATAGGAAAGGAAGAATTTAAACAGTCATTACTTGCTGTTGATATGTTACCCTACATTGATGACACAAAAAAATCCACCAAAAGACTTCTAGACTGAATTTACAGTTTTAGCAGAGTAGCCAGATACAATTTCAACATTCAAATATCAATAGCCTTTACGTACACAAATAACAGATGCACTGAGAGAGAAATTAGGGGAACAATTCCTTTCACAATAGCACCCAAAAAATGAAGTATCTAGAAATCAATCTAATGAAAGAAGGAAAATACTTGTACCCTGAAATCTAAAACACTCTGAAAAAACAGATCAGAGAGGATATAAGATGGAAAGATATCCCCTGCTCCTGAGTTGGAAGAATCAACATAGTGAAAATGGCCATATCACCAAATCTGCTATACAGATGCAATGCAATGCCAATTGAAATTCCAACACTAGATTTCACAGAACTAGAAAAAAATAATCCCAAAATACATTTGGAACCAGAAGAGACCTAGAATAGCAAAAGGCATCTTAGGCAACATAGACATGACAGCGCATATAACAATTCCTAATTTGAAACTATACTACAAAGCCACTGTGATAAAAACCATATGATACTGGCAAAGAAACAGAGCTGAGGATCAGTATAACAGATTGGAAGACCCAAAAACTAATCCAGATGTTGTCAGCTATATAATCTTTGACAAAGGAGCTGACTAGCCTCAGTGGAGAAAAGACAGCCTCTTTAATAAATGGTGTTGGACAAACTGGATTTCAACCTGCCATAGATTAAAACTGGACCCTTATCTTTCACCATGCACTAAATTAAAATCCAAGTGGATTAAGGATTTAAGCATTAAAACAGAAACACTAAACCTGCTGGAAGATAAGTTAGGCAGAACTCTGGAAGACACTGGCATAGGAAAAGACTTTATGAACAAATCCTCAGTAGCATAGAAACTAGCAGAAAGAATCAACAACTGGGATCTCATCTTATTAAAAAGCTTCTGCTCTGCAAAAGAAACCATCAACAGAAGTAAGGGACAACCTACAGTGTGGGAAAAAGTCTTTACCAGCTGCTCCTCAGACAAAGGACTACTAAAAACTATCAGCCCCCCCAAATATAAAGACCCAATTCATAAATGGGCATCTGAAATGAACAGACATTTCTCAGACAAATAAGTAAAAGCAGCAAGTAAATATATGAAAAAATGTTCCACATCACTGGTCATTTGAGAGATGTAGATGAAAGCAACACTGAGATTTTACCTCACCCCACAAAGAATGGCTGCTATCAAGAAATCAATCAATAAGAAATGTTGGCAGGGGTTGTGGGGAAGAAAGGAACCCTTCTCCATTGTTGGTGGGAGTGCAGACTGGTGCAACCACTATGGAAATCAATATGGAGATACCTCAAAGAGCTGGGACTAGTTATTCCATTTGATCCAGCCATCCCTCTGCTGGGTGTCTTTCCAAAAGAATTAAAAAGAATCATACCACAGTGATATATGCGCACCAATGTTTACAGAGGCACAGTTTATAATAGTTAAAACTTGGAAACAGCCCATTTGCCCATTCGTTTGAAACTGGATAAAGAAGATGTGGTTTTTCTATAAAATGGAATACTACTCAGGCATAAAGAATGAGAAATTAGATTCATTCATAGGAAAATAGATACATTCTGAGGATATATTTGTAAGTGAAATAAATAAGGCACATATGTGTAAGTACTGAATAGTTTCTTTGGTGTGAAAAACTATAATAGTACATGCTATTGTAATGATATAATTGACCATGTGAAATAGGAAGAAAAGGGCTAAAGGTGTAGGGAAAATGGGAAGGGTAGGGGAAAGATAATACGGGAAAAGAAAAAAACATGACACAATGAAAAAATGGAAATAAAGTGTTTGTAAATGGGGAGGGGAGGCGGAGGTGAAGGAAGGGCAGGGACAAGGGGAAAAAAATGAGAACCAAGACCTGTCATGTAAAGGTAGAAGATCCTAATAATGAATGTAATTGTACTGTATACCTTAAATGTACCAATAAACTCAATAAAAAATTAAACAAAAAAACAAACAAAACCCTCAAATAAGCACTGTAAACAACTAGAAAATGTTGTATAGAGGGGACTGGAGCCTGTGGTGTTGTAAATGTTAATATATGTCTCAGACCCATTGAAAATATTACATTCTTTTTCTTGTGTATATAGTTTTTATATCCATGAATATCTCTGCTATTATATCAGAAAATCTGTAAACTTATTGTGAGTCTAAAGAGTTTACTCATCATTTAGCAAATATTTTTGTTTTGAATTCTTTGTGTGCCAGGATATTGATAAAAGCAGAGGGTTCAGAAATTAATTTTTATAAATACATGCACTTGTTTACAAAAACAAAGTACATAATGTCCCATTATGCAAGAAAGAAAATGACATGAGATATCTGAATACTTTATTTAAATTTCATTAAATTGAATCATTTATCATTTGTTCTTCTGATATCCACTTTTCAATTTAGCCTAATATTATATATACATTACCTATTAATAATTGAAGGAGCATGCATTATATGTTTTTCTTCTCATTGAGTTCATTGGTACATTTTAGGTATACAGTACAGTTACATTTATCATTGGGATCTTGTACCTTTACATGACAGGTCTTGGTTCTCACTTTTTCTCTTTACCCCTGCCCTACCTTCACCCCTCCTCCCTTTCCTATTTACAAATACTTTATTTCCACTTTATCATTTTTTGTTTTCTATTATTTCCTTTCCACTACCTTTACCACTTCCGCTATACCTTTAGCCCTTTTATTCCTATTTCACATTGTTAATTATACCCTTAGGATCTTATGTACCATTATAGTTTTCCACATCAGAGACATCCATTATTTGTTTAATCCAGGCTTCATTCAGTAGTATAAATTAGGAATCAACCTAGATGTAAAAGATAAAAGCAACCTGCAACATTTTGCATGTAAGGGGAGCATGTTTCCAAATTAAATTGCCAGTTTTTTTTTTTTTGTCTTATCCACGAGCCATGATGTTTCTTAACCATCATAAAGGTTTCAGTAGGGGTTGATATGTCTACATTGTAATTATGGGAAAATTAAACTCTTTACAATTTTCAGAGTTGGAGAGAAATCTAAACTGAATTGCTTTCTCTTGTAGGCATGGAGGAGGAGGATTTAAGAGAAGAGCAGGGTGTTGACAGCTTCAAGGAAGGAATGCATTGGGGAGCAGGCATGGGATTAAAACCAATCACTGTATACCTTCTCCATCTTTGATCTTTACCTCCCAAATTAGATAATCTTCCTAAAGTGGATGCAGCAGTTTCACTTCTCTCTCCACAGTGATCTACGTGGGACTCCTAAGGGTAGGGTACAGTAAGAAATGGATCCTACCTGGAGGGACAGGAAAGAAAAATGGGTGCTTGGATTGCCAAGGAAATGTGTGCCATAGTTTGTCTGGTAAAATGTCCTGTGTGCGTTATCACACAGCCTTGTGTAAATATTTTTTAGTTTCCTGGTATTTTTTCAGTATACAGTACATTTCTTCACTACTTTCTGTCCAACAACTTATAATTTGTTACACAAAAATGCTCTGCCACAATTTCCTTTGAAAATAATGATATAGGAGCTTTAACTTAGAAATATTGCACAGATAAAATTAAACAGATTGCATTGTGTACATAACTCAGTTGCAGTCATTAAGGAAATGTATAGTCATTCCTTCAAGATATTATGGTTCTTTCATTTTCACCATCAACCTCCTGTCTCTACCATAATTCCTTTGAGATGCTGAGGAAATAGTTTCCTGGCACTCAGTATACTACCATGGGTTAGATGTCCATGAGAATCAGGACCAGTGCCTGAGGAAAGGAAAACTTTGACTGCGAGTTTGGGTCCCCTTAGTAATCAAGTACACACATTTCCAGTCCTCTAAGCTGAAACTGTGCACAACCATCACCCCATCCCACTGTCCAAATGTACTCATGATGGGAAGTGATGTTTCCAACAGTCTTTTCCCATTCATTACTTTCTGAGATAGGCTGTGGTCTACTATGGAATGTCCAAACATGTGTCCCACTCCTCACCTCCCGCAGAACCAGAAAAATATCGAGGATAGCCCAGAGGATGGATGTGGCAATGCCAAGCGTAGGCTTCCTGATTTAGATGAACATGAAGGAGGAGACACAGACATCTCCAGATATCAAAAAAACACCAGAGGAATTGACAAGTTATGTTATATCACATAACCTTCCAATCTCAATGCACATAGCTCTTCCTTATCCATATTGGCACACATTATTCCAATCCTGGAAATGTCTGATATTCAAAGAATGTTTTCAAAGAGAATGTCACCAAAAATTTGGGCTCTTCATTTACACAGAAGAAATCTTAAGAGTATTATTACCATTGTTAATTTTTTCCTTTTTTTCCAAGTCCTCAGTTTTTTATTTCTATTGCTAATTGCAGAAAGATATACATATCTAAAGGTGTGATCTTCAGCAATTTCAGGTGCAGAGTTTGGTTGCATATATGATAATATATTCTTTGATGTGACCCTCATTCTGAACCATCTCCAAAAATTTTCACTTTCAAAACTGAAATGTGCACCTTTATGAAGAACACTACATCCTACCAGTTGAACACTCATGGATCAGTAATGAAACATTATACAAAGTTAAAGACAGCAAACTTCAGAATCTATGAATTCAAGAGTAGTGTGTGTACAGAGAAGATTTTGAATTTTGTTTTTTTAACCATATTTTATAAATTGCATTTCAAATAAATGAATGGCAAAGGCCCTGGGATTAGAATTTCCAAAGATGGAGCCTCTTCAGGGTGCTATGAATGTCCCTGTTCCTCAGGCTGTAGATGAAGGGATTCAGCATTGGGGTGACCACAGTGTACATCAGTGAGGCCACCATGCCCTTCCTGGGAGAATATGATGGATTTGAACCTAGATAAGTTCCAAGGATTGTTCCATAAAATAAGCAAACAACTAACAAGTGAGAACTGCAGGTAGAAAAGGCTTTGTACCTCCCCCCAGATGATGGGATTTTCAGAGTAGTGGAAATAATTTTATAGTAGGAGAAAATGATCCCTGACATGGGGAAAAACCCAAGTAAGATGCCAGTGATATATGTAACTATGTTTTTGATTAAGGTATCTGAACATGAAAGGTCAAGCAGTTTGGAAGGGTCACAAAAGAAACTAGCAATTTCCACATCTTTGAAACAGGTAACTTGTAAGACAGTTAAATACTGCAGCTGAGAATCCACAACACTAACAAAGACTGAAAGCAAAAGCAATAAGTGACAGCAGTGAGGGTTCATAATGGCTGCATAATGCAGGGGGTGGCAGATGGCCACAAAGCGGTCATAGGCCATCACAGTCAGGAGCATGTCTTCGATACATACAAAAAAGATTAAAAAAGATATTTGAGTCAGGCATCCCACATAGGAAATGACTCTCCTGTGAGTTAAGATGTCCATGATCAACTTTGGGACTGCAGAGGAGGTGAAACCGATGTCAGCCAAGGACAGGATGCAGAGGAAGAAGTACATGGGGGTGTGGAGGTGGGAATCAGAGCTGACGGCCAGGATGATGAGCAGGTTCCCGAGCACTGTGAGCAGGTACATGGACAGGAACAGTCCAAAGAGGACAGGCTGCAGGTCCGGATCCTCTGAGAAGCTCATGAGGTAGAACTCTGAGACCATTGTGAGGTTATATTTTTCCATGTTTCTTGAGCACTTTTAAATAAAGTTCATTTCAAAAAAGAAATAAAAGTATCCCCCAAACTCTTCATATACTCTTAGTTCAAGCATTCATAAACAAAGAATTCCTTGCAGAGTGCCAAAGTCTTTGTCAGTTTGCTCCATCATGAGAAGCCCCAACCTGTAGGGCTTGTTGTTGGATGATTTCTGTTCCAACTCCTCTGTGTCCTCTTACTTTTCTAGTACTGTACTGCACAGTGTGAGTAGGCCTCATACATAGAGTACTGAAGTCCTGGATCACAGTAAAATATGGGAAGTGTTAATGCAAAATGTGTAGAGGGTAGTTAAGCCATTCCCCTTTAAGAAAATATAATCCTATTGGAAGAAAATTGATAAGCATTCAAATATTCTGTATTTCATACTCATAAAATGCTAGAAATTTCCTTGATTGTAGTGTATTCAAGTACTACCAAATCTAGGAATACATTATCTGAAAATTAAAATTGTTAGTTTTCTTCAATCAAAATCCTTTTTTTTGATTCACTGTTGTGAAAAATATAAAATTTTTCATTTTTGTTGTTTTTTTTATGACTTCATCTCTTAAAAATGACGATTTTACCCAGGCTTTTAAAATATATTGTGCATAAATTTTATTTGTGCATAAATTATTGAATATGAAACTTTTGCCCTTGTCTTTATTGTATTCAAATTCTTAGACCGCAGGTACAGTTACATTCACATAGTCTTCAGAAAAAATTACCACAAATGTAGATTAGTGTATCCTTCATATGTCAAAATAATAAATGATAAGAAGCACCTTTGCCTTTAAATTTTTTATCCAGGTGTACTTAGTCATACAACATCAGTAAAATATCTGCTACATGACTTCTCTTCCTTGATTCTGTAGTCTACCATAGCTTGATAAAAAGCTTTGCTGCTGTTCTGATCATAAACCCTCTGTTGTTCAGTTGACCACATTGGAAATAAAGAAATTCCCAAGCCTCTTGGTGAGTCCTATCCTTCCTACTTCTAACTCTTTTTCCATTCAATCTCTCCAGAAACATGAGTTCCATTTTTCATATTTCAGTTATGTGTTTGAAACTGTGACCCATATTTTCCTCAGGTCATTCTGTGACTTAATTGGGAAAATCCCAAAATAGAATATGAATGATATATGTACACCTTAAAACTCAGTTGCAAAAGAGAAAGGTATGTAAAATCTTGTAAACAAACACACAAAAAATGTACTTTCACTCATCTGTAAAATGGGATAAGAATTAACAAAGAAAATGGGGAAAATTAAAGGACCAAGATATATTATGTAAATGTACAAGTTCCCAATGAAGAATGTAACTATATTTTATAACTAAAGTGCAACAGTAAACTTAATGAAAAAAAGAAAATACTCGCAAAAACATTTAGTTTTCATCACTGATGATTCTATATTAGGAATTTATTTATTTTGAGAATATCTCAATATACTGTAGGCCTAGTCTAATATATTAATCAGAATATTTACATTTCAATTTTTGAGTCTTTTTCTTAAATGAGACTTGAGTATCACTCTCTGAAAATACTTGCTGGTATTTAGCAAATTTCCCTTCCTAGTATCTATAGATGTTAACATAAGTAATTATATTTACATAATCATTATATTCTTCAGATATTTGAACATTTATCTAAAAATGTGAGTTCTTATTATCATATTTTTTTGGTCTCTGTCCTGAAAGAAATCTGTTATGAATTTTATGGGTACAATTTCTTGTCACTGTTTCCAAGTCAACACTATTGATGAATCTACAAGCAATTTTCTTAAAAATTTACTTAAAAGGAACAAAAAGCCATCTAAGTAGTGTGTTACAGCAATCTATTGCCCCCCAAAAGATTAGGTTTTAGGTCTCTTCAACCAATTCACTGCCTTATCAGAGAGGAAGGGGAGGGAAGGATGGAGGGAGAGAGGCCTCATTTACCTTGTCAGTTAATCATTATGATAATATTTTCAAAATTATTGTACTTCTTCCCCTTTCACTCATATTAAAATTATTATATAGTTTAATGCTGTGATAATTTTCTGATTTCCAACAAAGAGTGCGGGTAAAATTTGAATGTTTTTGCAAAATAGGTGACTCAATTTTACCCATGTACTCTTATTCATCAGATTAACCTCCCAAATATGCTGGCCACCTTTCCAGTGATGACCTCTTTCTGGTACCATACAAAGAACTTTCATCATCACATGAGGAATGACATTTCCCTTTTGCTGTAGTTTTGGAGAGTATGCCAAGGGATGGCACTGAAGAAATGAGTGTGTTCGTCTGACCTGTTACTGAGGGCAGAACGAGTGTGAATATTGCTTCCTCTCCGTGCTCATAATGCTTGAAGAAAACAAGGAGAATTGCTTTCATTCACATGTGTGGCAACTAACCAAACTGAAAACTTAATTATTTAGCAATTGTGAGATTTCTTCATTTCAATTGCATTAATTTCTGCTGTCAGACCTTTATACTTTCCTCCCTTGTATGAGCTTTAGGCTTGATTTGTTCTTTGCATAGAACTTTGAGTTTCACCATTAGGTTGTTTCTTTGAGCTTGCTCCGTTGTCCTGATGTGAGAGTTCATGGCCGTAAATTTTCCTTGTAGGCCTCCTTTCATTGCTTCCCATAAGCGGGATTTTGCTTTGAAAATAAAGATGTGCACCACCACTAAGCAAGTAGGAAGTTTATTAAGTATGGTAAAGTGCATGCCAATGGCATTGGGGCCTGAAATGATATGAAGTTTTAATCTATGTAAGCTCGAGGTAGATTCACTCACTTCATTCTCTTCTTGCCTTAAAAAAACCCACAGAAATATCTTTGACATGTTTTGTTCTTCAATAACTCATCGAGGTGCAATTAAGTGGATTATAAGATCTATGTGTTCATGACAAAGAGAAAAAAGCAAAAGCAACTTTGTCTTCTCTTTATATCTATGAGACATTTGTGAAAGGGATGGAGCTGCAGACAGTAAGGTACCAAGCATATTCACATCAGTATTATTAACAACAAGTATTGTGACAAAGGGAAGGGTCCACTCAATGTTTTAATTTTTGAGATCCCCTTTGTGCCAAACAAGCTATCGGTGTGCAAAATCAGCTGTAAAGGAAAGTACATCATTCCTCTGCAAACATGCACATATAATGACACAAACAGAAAGTGTCCTGCAACAGAAATAGAAAAGCAGTAACTACAGGACTCAGGAAATAGCAAGTATAAATATACTTATTGTTGATAGTAGTGATAGCTACATTTTACTTTACTCTAACTTTATACCCATTAACCCAAAATAGAGCACTCCTCATCTGCATAATCCTTAGTGCAGTTGCATCAAGTATAATTTAACACTAATACACACGCTCTTTCAGAGATATTAAAAACCTCCCCTGCATCACAGATATAGTGAGCAGAACTGAAAGGATTAAAAAATTAATTGGCAGATGCTATCTGACACACGGAATCTTTTTCATTGTTTCCAAACCACTGAAAGTTTTATGCAGAGGTGCAGAGTTGATAATCACAGATGATTTAGAGCCACATTTGCAACACTGTCATTTCCTCAAGAAATGAAATCAAGGCATGAATTTCCCTCATTTGAGTTGGGAAATAAGTGCAAGCATGGAGAAGGATGTAGGAAGCTCAAAATATCCCACAGTGGTGGCAGGAGCTAAATTTCTGCTTAGTGCTCAAGGGAGCCTTCTCTCAGATCTTTGCCTGTCATCTGCATTTGGATTTCAAGGATGCAGCCAGGGTCATTCATGGCTCTGCTCTGTGCACCCTCAGAAAACTGCAACAGTAGGGCCACCATTCACATGGGGAATGTCCTGAAGGGACAGAGAATCAATTGTCTTCTTGTGTTAAGAGACAACCTCTCAGAATTACCCGTGTCTGTAATCAGACAACCCAATTCTACCAAGTCGTTTTTCTACACAACAACCTAATGTAGCTTCCATTAAATGAGAGATTCTTCATTTTTTTTTCTGAATATCACTGGGAATTTGCAATGTGGACGATATAACGCCATCAAATCCAGTTCATTATGTTATGGTTAATGCTTTCCTCTATATCCTGCTCATCACCATTTTAATCCTTTTAGAGCGCTAGGGGACAGTGCGGAAGGGCATGTATTCGCTGCTATGGGTGAGAAATCAATAGAAGTAGAAGCAGTGTGAGTAAAAAGTAAATTTGAAATTATTCTGCTCGACCTGCTACAAACAAGTTTCCATTCCTTATAAGTGATATTTTTCATATTTTTACCCTCACATTTGATGACCAAAAGTATCATGCTTCTCCTCAGGATAAGGAAATAATAACTTTAAGCATCCTTCTCATATCAGTGAGGTCCCTTTGCACTTACTGGGCGATGCTGTTTCTCTCCTGGTTCATAGGCAAGGAGAGCAGATCCAAAGAACCTCTTATGTCTGCTGCCCAGTGAAAGCTCAGTCTCTGTTCTCTGGATTTAAATTAGTACAAATACACACAGGAGCTTCATAATACAAACAAAAATAGAGCCTTGGACAGTTATGGAGCTGGACATAGGACCGAAGTTACTAAAGGACTGAAGGCCTCTGTGACTTTGGGGCCTCAATGCACAGAACAACTAATTAGCCAAATTGCTCCATGCCATCCCAATCTCTAAGGACTTCCCAATATTTGTGGAAGAAGGGAGCAAAAGAAATATAATGTCCACAGAGATTTTTGGATCTTCTACTCAGATGAAGCTAGTTTGTCCTAATCAGTTCTGTCATTTACATCCAATTTTAAAGGGTGATTTGTCTTTATTTCAGTTTTGGAGTAAAATACAGAGAACAAAAGTATACTCTTAACAATGAACAGTATACACTTTAATATTGTTGTGAGTCACTCAGCATCAAATATCTTCAAGAATGTTTCATTTTCCAAACTGAAAATTTATGTTCAACTTTAAAGATCATTCTCCATCCTCCCAGCATTACATTGTGAAATTAAAGGCGTGAAATTATGATACTAACTT